TATATAATATATCATATAAGTAGTTTTATATATTCCTATTTTTTTTTTCTAGGTAGCCAAACAATCATTTCGAGTAGTAGATAGCTGTAAATTTGATAATTACAGTGATACTCTTGATATATCGGTAGATGAAAATTCTGGGATTGTTAAAACAACAAATGAACTTGGGCGTGCTCATGTATTCATTACTTCTACAGAAGATTTAAATATTGTGCAATCTTTAGATGTACCTATTGAAGTAAATAAATTATAATTAAATTCAATTTAGATTATTGATGATACTTATCTAATTTTATATTTATTTCATTATAGGTAAAACGAGTAAATTATGTGATGATTAATATTAAAACCGATATCAATTCAAAAGAATCTTCACAAATGTCAGTTCTTCCAAGTGGAATGAATTTAAAACTAATTACTTCGTATCACGATGAAAAAGGAGTTCAGTTTAAGGCTATCAATTCTGATCTAAAATATCTAACAAGTCATCAAAATAAGGTTTGGTAAAATAATAATATTCCAATCAGTTGTGTATTTTTAATGTTTAAATAATTTTACAATTTTAAAAAGATTTCAATGACACCTGGTGATCAAAAACATATAATGGAAGTTTCTCTATTTGAATCTGGTGAAGTAATATTGAAAATATGGGATGATGGAGTGTATCATTTTAAAGAAGATTATATTAAGTTTCATGTTGAACATCTTATTTATCCAAATAAAGTATGTTAACTTAAGTTTTATCTGTTATATTGTATATATGCATGTATGTAATTTGAATGTAAATGTATGTATAGTTTAAATTTAAAAATGATTTATGCTAATTTTTAAAATAAAATATTGTAATTTTATTGTTAGTATTATTTACCAGTATTATACAATTAATTTTTTGCAGGCTACTGTTACTGTTGGAGATGTTATTTGTTTTTTGATGCCTGTCAAATTTACTGAAGAAGATACCAGTGAGTGGTTGTCTGATAACTCAAAAACATTATCAGTTGATAGTTCTTCTGGATTTAGTGTAGCTATGGCACCTTCAGAAGTTTTTGTGACATATTCTAATAACAAATTCAAAACATCTACAAGCATTAACATTTTACCAATCAAAACTGTAAGTATAGTTTGTTATTATAATAATTTTATGTTAATTGAATATGTATTTTTTTAGATAATAATTTTGCCTTTTGAGAAAAAGGCATTGAGTAATAGTGCTACTGTTGATATCCACTTAATTTTACTTAATGAACAAGAGTCCGTTTCATTAATTAAAAATAAAAAAGGAAACATGTGGGAATGGCGTGATGATGATTGTTCGAATCGGGAAAACACTGTTAAACGTTTTCCATTTGTTTGTGATGTTCATTTTGAGTCTATTTTATCTAATCAAATGAAAATTCCATCAATAAATCGTGTGTTTGATATCAATCCCTATTTTAACTCAAAGACAGGTTTGTGTATTTATTCATTTTGATTTCATGTTTTTTTTTTTTTTTAATAATCATTTCCCTATCTTAGGCCTTTACAGTTGTCAACTAACACCTCGTCCAATTGTTGACCAGGAATTGAGTTTATTTCAAGCTAAAGTTGTTATTCAGGTGTCTGCTGTTAATGTATTCAATGAGCATAAAGATATTACATTTATACCATCTGTCTATATCAACATGAAAGAATTGTTTTTAGGCCAGTTTAGTGGCACAGATAAACTTATTATTGTTGGTTTACCCCTAGTATTATCTCAAATTGAAGTAAATATTTATTCTAATCCATTTATTAATATTAAAATAGCATTCTAACTTTACTTTTAACATGTATTAGGTTACATCTAGTAATCATTCATTAGTGTTTCCTGTACTATTTAGTGAAAGTGAAAATGAAAAAGTTTATTCATTTGTTGTGAATGATGATTTTTGGAATGAAAAACTTCTCGATCTTTATATTCGTGTGTCTTCAAATTTAACTTATCAAAACATAAAAGTTAGTGACACTGGTATGTTATTTATATAACTATTTATATAATAATTTTGTTCTTTACCACAGATACCAGTTGTAACTTTTCGTTCATTGAATGAATATAATTTTTCAAAAGCACAATTGCCTATTGCAAATAAACAAGATTCCAAAAAAAATCAAAAATCAACAATGACAAGTCTGTTTTCTGGTTTTTCAAATAGTATATTCTCTAATCCATACATTCTTAGTTTTGTTGTCATAATTATCACTTCTTTAGTTGGTTAGTATCAATATATTTATATAGTAATGATTATTAAAAAAAAAAAAAAAATTAGATATAATTATGTATTTTACATTTTATTTGCAGTTTATTGTTATGGATTTTCATTCAACAGTAAATATATATCTGTTTTTAAAAGTAAGTTCAAATATTATTTTATTTTTACATTTAATTATATACAATTTTTAACCCTAGCTATATTACATTAAAAGACTGGGCTTTAAGAATTGATTTCATTAAGTTTAAGAAATTTAAAATATCAAAATATTAACTCTAATAAATTAATACCTTTTGATTAAGTAATAAAAAATAAATATAAATCTCAACTATATATTATCAGATGTCTTTTCCTAAGTAATGTTCAAAGTTTATTACATATTAAAAGACTATCTAAAACAATGTATGTTTGTTATACAATGACATTTAAAAACAATTCAATTCTACGGTAACTCAACTATTAATTATATTTTAATTTTATTTCCTTATAATTTATAATTTGTAATTTAATTTTAATTTTAAAAGCAATAAAGCATTTATTATTTAAATTTATCTAGTTTTAATATAAATATTTAAATTTACAATTAAAAACATCATAATCTTATATTCTCATATATATTGATTGTTCAAGTTATCTTTAGTTCAATTCTATAATTGTGTGTTTTATATTACATTTTAATCTATGTTTGTTTAAATATGTTAAGATACTCAACTTCCACCATCTCCAACAAATGTGGGTTTTTATAACAGAAGTTATTCAAGTGATCAAAACAATAGGTCATCTTCATTGAGCCTCAATAGATCTCTCACAAGGATGCAGTAAATCTAAACTCGACTTAATCTTGTTATTCAACACTAAGCCTAATGTCAAACTTTTTAATTAAATGTGAATACTATTATGTATATATTTTTTTAGTTATTCATGTGTAGACAGCATTCTATATCTGTAAATATTATTTACTACTAAAAAATATTCTTTGATTTAATTAATGTAGTTGTAAAGTGTTATGTGTTGTGTATAGTTTTTTCTTTTGACAGTAATATTTTATATGATTTAGTAAGAGAAATTGTAAGTTTATAAAAATAACTATCACTTAAAACTATTAAAATTTAATTAACAAATATAATATTTTAATTCATCAATTTGTATTTGTTCTTTGAGAGACTAACCAAATGTTGGCCCGTTGATAAATTTTATCCAGTTTGTAGATAAGGAAAAATTAATAATATAATACATTGGTTTTTTTGCCAACGGAAGCAGATATACTTGTTGCCAAGCATATCATAGAGTTTGAATGTGTGACCGTTTAAGGAACATGCTTGTTTGCGCTGTACTTATGGACATTAATATGCAATGCAGTTCGACAACAGCTTTCCGTTATCTTCCATTCCAACATTGTCCATATTTTTGTCATATATGTGAATTTTAATTATGTAAATTATTATGTATTATTCTTACCATAAATTATTATGCAATATTCTTTTATTTTTGTGTCAATCTTACACTGTGATCGTTGTCATAGATTGGTCGTAGTTGCTGCACCACGTTTTTTATCATTTCTGTGGATTGTAATTATTACTAGACTTATTTGTTCAGTTTTTTTTCTATTAATTATCTTATTTTGTACATCATAATGACAACATATTATTATTATCACCGTTTGGGCAAGTAAATTATTGTTTTTTCTAAATACGAATATTATTAACCAAAACCATTTTACTAAAATGAATTGATAAGTATATTAAGTATGTTTAAAATAAAAGCCACATTTTAATTATTAAAAAATAAACTAACAATCATAGCAATCCATGAAAATGTTTTAAAATATATTTTTAATTAGTATTACAGTTATAATAATTAAGTTTAATAAACATTAAAACCGTTTTAATAAAAAAAATTGGCATTTGTAGTATTGGATAAATTAACATTTTTATTACAATGTATGTTAATGTATAGATATATTTGCTTATAATTTGTTATTTATACAATGACCGTTAATATAAATTTAAACGAAATCAATCGCGTTAAAAAAAAAAATAATATCTTTTCAGGGGGATAAATCAAATATTTCCTTCACTAATATCTCAAGTTCGTTTAGGAAAATTATCAAGACGGCGTAATGGATAGGCAAAAGTAGAACATACCTGTGATGGATATTTGTATTGTACTAAACAATAATAATTAGTGCTACAGTTAATTAAAAACTAAATAAACTAATTATTTTCTGAGAATAATGAATATGAAATCATTATGCTATTTAAAAATCATAAAACACTTAACATCTTAACTTTTTTCCTTTTTTTTTTTTAATTGATTTTTAGTCTAACGGAAAATGAGAATAAGACGGAGAATGTAATACCTTAAAAATTAAGTGCAATAATTACTTTTCTTTTTATATTTTTTTATAACACTGATACTTTTGAGTTTGTTCCAATTATAATTTGAGTGTGATTCATTTCAATGAATACAGTATTGAAACTATTTTTCAAACATAATGTTATATTTTTCTTTTTTGTTGCAAATACATCAGTAATTTATAAATTTATGCCTTTGTTTCATTAATTTTTAAGCCAATTTTTTTTTCCTTTCCTTCAGAAAGATATCTGTTCTTTATTAGGTCGTTTTTTGTTTCAGCTAATAAATATCCGCATAAGCAAATGCTGTTAAATGTTGATTATCTTTTATTTATATGCCCTTGGCTTGGGACATTACTAACCTCATAACTGATTCTAGGGTGATATTGAACAGTGCGGGTGATAAAGCATCGCCTTGTCTGAGACCAATCGTTACCGGAAACTCCTCAAATAATTCTCTTCCAAAACTAATTTTACTTTTTGAGTTATATGTGCACGAATTTATTAATGTGGTTAACTTGGTTGATATTCCTAGCTGGTCCATGACCCCATAATTTTTCTCTGTTGATTGAGTCGTATGCTGCTTTGAAGTCAACAAACAGTAAATTAATATCTTTATCAAATTCGTGACTCTTTTCAACGACTTATTTTACCATTTATATTTAATCTATTGTTGATTTTCCTAGCATAAAACCAGCTTGGTATTCTCTAATTATTTTTTTGATATAATGGTTGATTCTAGTCAATAGTATGTTAGACAATAGTTTATATGTTGTATTGATTAGTGAAATCCCTTTTTAATTTTCATATTCCGTGATGTCTCCTTTTATGTGGACAAGCTATAATATGGATATACGGCATGCTTCGGGTATCTCTTTTTTTGTTTCCAGATTGTGTTCAGAAGTTTGTGGAGCTGGTTCAGCAGACCTTGGCTTCCCTTTTTTAAACAGTCAAATACTATTTCATCTTCTTCCAGTGTTTTTCCATTTTTTAGCATATCCAGTCCTATCTTCACTTCTTCTTCTGATGGTTTTTCAATCAGCTATTTTACGGTAGTGTATTCAAGTACGGTAATATTTTCATTTGGTTGGTTTAATAATTTTTGTGTGATTTCAATAATAATAAATAATAAATAACATGTAATGAAAAAATTGGATAAAAAAAGGTAATGTGTATAATGTGTATTATATAACAATAAGAATTAATGAAGTACCTAGTGTGTTGTATGTGTGATAACTGTGACCATTTAGATCTACTCGTAAATCTATTGACTAGAACAATAATAATAAAATAATAGACTAGAGTATGACACGCGAATGGTAACAAATAACTAATAAATATGAAGAAAAACTTATAGTTATTGAAGATATGGTGTACACCTGGCCAGTTACAACCAATACCTAAAATGCATACTGGACACACACATAATTGAAAATCGTAATAGGTACTGTATATAAATAAATCAATGTAAAATAATGACAATGAAAAACAATGACGTACAAAGAAAATAATTACAATATTTTTAACAATGTTTTAATGTTTGGTACATATAATAATAATAATTATAATATAAATGTTAACATATACACGTTTTTCCACGATGATCGTGCAACAACCACGAAAAAATATCAATATGATTAATTTAAACTTTTGGGAAAAAAAGAGAGATAATCGATAATCGTTGTTTTAATTTATTGATCAAAGCGCATTTGCATTATTATGCAATTATTGTTGTTAACCCGTTATATTTAAAGGCTCATCGTACCAGCCGATGAACGGCAATTAAATAGTTAATTGGCGTTAGTCTGCTCCATCGAGAATATCAAATATAATGAATCAATTAGGCGATCATAACCTTATTTTGCTATTTATGGTTTGTTGAGTATTATTTAATGTATAGTCCCTTCGACATTTAATTTTTTTTTTTTAACAATTTTGAAATCCTATAAAATGTTCTATACCCGTCCTTAATTTGTGGTTTGCTGATATACAGTGAGCTGTAGCAAAATCAGAGGCATAATTTAATAGGCAGTATTTTATTTATATTTAGTTGTATTTGGGTAATATAAATAGCAACACATGCAATGCCTAACAGACTTTATTGGACTAAAAAGTGGTAGTAGATTTTTATAAAATGTAAATGGCCAGGCAGCTATACATGCTAAAATTCGCGTCACGAACTTACAAGAGATCTCGAAGTAAATAATTGGTTCATAGTGTGTACATTATATCTAGACAAATACTTCAATGGTACATTTTTTTTCTTTGTACGTTCAATATGTCCCTTAGAGATAAATATAGGTATTATTGTTTCATAAATAATAATTATCTAGAATTATTTAGAATTGCTCTTAAAATATTTTCGATTTACGATTAATAAGACTTATCGATTATGTTTGGTACGTTATAATTTTATTTATACAGGCAATTATATACAATATGTGCACGCGGTCACATTTAATAACTAACCAGTCGTAAACAATTCGAGGAGCGTCAACTGATTGCTTTGTATTAGCATTACGGACAGCCGCTGTAGGAGCTTCCCCCACACCCAATGTGATATTAACATTATCTTCGTGCTATTAATTTTCCCATTATATAAAGTACCAAGTAATTTATTTGACTAATACCATTATATATATCTCGGTCGTATGCCTGAGTTCACGTATAACTTTTATTTTCATTTTAAACGTAATTTATTGTGAATCGCGTGAGAACAGAGTAATCATATAATCTGCTATGTTATTACGATTACTTACCACTGGCCAGATCTCAATTTTAATATAATATTTTATAGGGGTATCAAACAATATCGATATTTCGATATGCTATCGATATCGTTACATTTTTTAAGTACAAATATCATGATATTGAAAATATCGATATCTAAATAAATATCGTAATGTAGGTATATAGAAAAAATCACTTTACAAGGAATGGGACATTTATTAATGATTTGTGTGTAGGCAATTTCATGATTCAACATATTATGCAGTGTGTTAGTATTAGTACTTAGTAGTAAATTAATAATTATTAATTAATAATTATCGTTATTCATAAATGAGTGTAAAATGTATTGGGAATTAGGTACTCTTTCACTCGCACGCGCACGAATATGTTACATATGCGTCCATTGTTTAAGGTATAAAAATGTAAATTATAAAATATAATATTTAATATTTATTATTTTTATTTACAATGTAGAGGTCGATTGGACATAGTATTACGTCATTGTAAATAGCTCATTAGAAATTATTATTTTATTAGTATTCACATATTCTGTAACTCACTTTTTTTAATTTTTAATTTGTTCATAGAGTACAGATATGTCATATAAAGACGAAAGTGTAGAAAAAAATAAAAATAAAATTCACACGGAATAAGTCATACCGAAAAGACAAGGTGGATTTTTTTATTTTAATTCATTTACTTTATATTCATATTTATGATATTTATAATTTTTAAATAAGAAATTTAAAAAATATTGATCTCTACTTTGTTTTTTTTTTATTTCATGTTATATTTTTGAAAAATAATTTATAATAATAAAAAAAAAATATTAAAAAATAATATAATAATACAGTATATATTTTGCTCGACCATTTGAGGTGTCACAAACCATAATTTTCTAGTTATAATATTCAGTTTAAACTAATAATTGAAACATTTAAATACCTTAAATGTTTAGATAGAAAAATAGGTCAAAATAAATGAAATAATTAGAATGATATATGTATATTATTGTGATATAGGTATTAGTCATAATACAAACTGACCACTCATTTCTTAAAACTTTGAAATTCTATAATCGTTTTTATTTGTCATTCTTAATTAATTTAATCTCTAGTGATAGTGTTTTAAATATTTAAAAGCTATTTATCAAAAAATATATATTTTACAAAATGGGACTATCCTAATATAGAAACTATAGTTTCAAAAATGCAAGCAAAAATTTCCCATTAAAACAAGAAAATTGTTAACATACAATTCCATATTATATATTTTTTTAAAAATTTTTATTTCTTTAAGTATACATATTCAAAACAGTTTCATATTATATTATTTAGTATTCATAGGGGTCACATAAAAAAAACTAAATTTATGATACGCAGGTATACGGATATACTGGCTATACTATAAACAGTAAGAAATTGAATTTTATCTTTTTCTACAAAAATCAAATATACCAAACATATTTCCTTGTTATCCCATTTATTAAGCACGGTCATTATTTTTAAATTTTAAACATCTATTTTTAGTTTTATTTCACGGAAAACTAGTTTAAAAAACCGTTACACTGATGCAAGTCAATATTATAGTCTTAAATTTTATTTTAACAATTTTAATTTCGGATCATTACTTTGTTAGCTAATATTATTGCTCATTGACAAAAAAAAAAAAAAAACGGAGAAGTTAAAATTAACACCACTCACTTTTTTTATTTACAATTGACGTATAATCAAAATTTTTTTATGACTACATCACTGAAAAAATAAATTTAAAATTTAATCTAAGATTATAATTGCAACAATAAAATGTTTGGGAATTAATCATAAATTATATTTAAAATACAGATTAAAAAGGAAATTTATCATTCAAATATAACTAGAGATATTCTTCTTCTTCTTTTTCTTTTGACATGTCTATTTTTTAAACATTTTTGTCGTCATCATTACATTTCGCTACCTGTCTCTACCATAGACTGCCCCTCTACAGCCCTTAATTCCTAGAGTTTTTAGATTTTCTTCAACCACGTCCACCAGTGCAGGTTATGAGGGGGGCAAAGGGGGCAGTTGTCCCGGGCGGCAATTACTTAACAGGGAAAACGAAAATTTTGAAGTTTTCTAATGTATTTTAATTTTTAGGAAGAATTATTATTTATTGAAATATTATATTGTATATAAAAAGACAAACTAATTATTTCTCAGACATCTAAAATTCAAAGTTTCTTCAAAAAGGTAAGAACTTACGTATTTAATAATAGTATATTGTAGTGTTACCTATTTAATAGAGAACAATGAAAATTATAAAATATGTATAGTCACGATTAATATTTATGCTAAGATTTTTAAAACTAATTTATAATTGATTTATAATACTTCTGACTATTATTTTTAAATAATAAAATTAATTATTCTATATTTTTTGATAAACACATTATTAATTTTAAAATTTATTTTCCTGTGGATTTTGAAAATTAAATTAGGTACTAAAATATGATCTTTTCAAATTTCTAGTAACCCGATTCTGATGAATTCATTGAAAAATCGTTAAAACTCAATTCTGATGAACTAGATGAAAATTTGTTAAAAACCGACGACGAAAATTTAATATTTGACATTGAAGTCTTTTGTAAAACTATTAATGATCCAATTTCTCCATCTTGAGATCCAACTTTATGGGAAATAAATTCTGATATGATTGATTATTTTGTTCGTAACCCAGTTGTATCAAATCCTAAAATAATTAATTTTGATAATACTATTCGTAAATGTGGTAAAATTAATAGAAAGTTATCGCATGATGTTTTCAAAAGGAAACTTTTGAATGGTGAAATAAAATACAGACAATGGTTATTATACTCAACAACAAAAAATGCACTATTTTGTTTTTACTGTGTTCTATTTTCTAATAAAAAAACGCAGTTTAGTTCCACTGATTTAGGACTTACTGATTGGAAAAAATGTTTTGAAAAAGTTGAACAACACGAAAAGAATTTGACGCATAATGAATCAATTCGCATATAGTTCTCAAGACGTAAAATAATTACAGGAATTGATGTTGAGGTAAAAATAGAACTTGAAAAAAGAGAACTTTATTGGAGAAGTATAATTCTTCGTTTAATTGAAACAATTATATTTTTATCAGGCAGAGGTCTTGCATTTCGTGGTGATAATGAGACGTTGGGTTCTAAAAATAATGGCAATTATCTTGATTGTTTAGAATTAATTGCGAAATTCGATCCACTAATGTCCAAATATCTTGACGAGTACGGTAACAAAGGCAGTGGAAATGTTTCGTACTGTCCCACACTATTTGCGATGAGTTAATAACACTTATGAACAAATCTGTGCTTCTTAAGATTGTAAATGAAGTAACGGCAGCTAAATATTTCTCGTTGATCGTAGATTCTACTCCCGATATCATAAAGTTTGACCAATTAACAATTGCCATTAGATACGTTAATTTAGACGGGACTGCAGTAGAACGGTTTTTATGTTTTATTCCATCGGTTGGACATAAAAGTGAAGAAATGGAAGTCGTAATATTAACGACATTAACTGAATTAAATATCAACATAAATTATTGTCGTGGAAAATCCTACGACAATGTCAGAAATATGTCAGGTATGTATAATAGTTTACAAGCTCGAATCAAAGAAAAATCAAAAAACGCAATTTTTAGCCCATGCTCAGCACATTCCTTAAATTTGGTTGGTTGCCATGCTACTGATGTAACTAAG